TCCCTCCTCCTCCTCCTCCTCCTCCTCCTCCTCTCCTCCTCCCTCCTCCTCCTCCTCCTTCCATCAATTCCTCCTTTCCTCCTCCTCCTCCTCCTCCTCTCTCCTCCTCCTCCTCCTCCTCCTCCTCCTCCTCCTCCCCCTCCCCCTCCCCCTCCACAATTAACACAATATGAATACTGCTCTCCTCCATCCCCTGATGGCGTGCGGAAGATAGCCGGCACCCCTCCGCGTACCATGTTTTTAAGCACAAGATTTCCCGGAGTTGGGTTTTCGCTTTGGTTTTATTTTCAACATGATGCTCTCGCTGAGGCGCGGGCTTCATTTGTGGGCTTCCGCTCATTCCGAATCGTGCTCACGCTGCAGCGCTGGCCTCATTTCCGTGCTTCCGCTCGTTCCGAATCGTGCTCCCGCTGCAGCGCTGGCCTCATTTCCGCGCTTCCGCTCGTTCCGAATCGTGCTCCCGCTGCAGCGCTGGCGTCATTTCCCGTGCCACGCCACGGCATTCAATGCAATGCTAAGTTGCGTTCCGCTGCGCGATGCCGTGCCTTCAGCTGCAGCTGTCATATCCAATGCATCAGTGCCACGTCATGCTATGCCATGCTACGCTTTGATCTTCAACGCCATGCTATGCAATGTTTATGTTCGGGGCCGCTGTGCGATGCCACGCTTTGCGTTGCAAAGCTTTGTGATGCAATTCTTCACTACGCCACGCCACGCCATGCTGTGACAGACTACGCTTTGCGGTGCTCTTCTACGCCATGCCATGCCGTGCTCTACAATGCATCGCGTACCCTTTCGGGATCATTGCCCTGCTCAATATTCCGACTGTGCGAGTAGAGAGGGGATCTACGCCATGGTAAGGGATGGGGGGGGCGGTAGGATGTCAAATATGACGCGAGCGCACCTAGCTTGCCCCTTCCCCCTCCTCTCCTCCCTCCGCTCCCCTCCCCTCTCCCTCCGCTCCCTCCTCCCCCCCCCTCCGCTCCCCCCCCAAAACACCAGCAGCAGCACGCGTTCGCTGGTGAGCCAGTGAACGTCAACTTACTGGTGACGAATCAGCTAAAACCACGAGTGGATTTGGCCGAAAGCAAGCCAACTGCACACCCGCCACGAGAAGCGTTCGCTCCGGAGAGGAAAGAGAGGGCCGCAGAGGAGGGGTGCAGGAAAAGCCTAACACGACAAGACCCGCACGCACTCAGTCTCGTCAAGCAAAGGAAGAGTCATCAGCCCCTGGACCAGAGCCGAGATTGTCTGCTCAGAGGTGGTAGAGCGTAACAAAAATAATTCGCATCGGGCGATCAGCTAACCAGTGAAGAGGCATGCAGCGAGCGGTAAGTGTCTAGAACGGCGCACACGCCTTACTCGGTACGCAAACGACAAGGCAGAGCGCCGCAAGCATGTAGTGCAACGCGCTGCACAGAGACATGCTACGGATCAGGTTCCGCCTGTCTGTTGGCTTTCCCCCAACAGATAGCGGACCCGCCCTTCGTCCTTTTCTTCTATCCCCTTTCCCCCTCCTGCCCCCCCACGCCCATTCCTCCTCCTTCCTCTTCTGCCTCCCTCATCCTCGCCTTACGTATCTTCCCTCCTCCCCCTCCAACACGGAACGAGCTCCACCCGTTCCTCCTTCCATCACTCCTCTCACCTTCCTTCTTTCCAACTGGTGACGACGATCCCGTCAGCTGGCGAGAGCAGACGACCGCAGCAGACTGCCAGATCGAGCCCGCGACTGCCACACCGCCGAGGGGTCCGAGGTGGACGGGCAGCGCACTGCCCAGCGAGCGGCTCCGACCGGTCCCCCTGCTCCGCCCCGCTTGGCACGAGGGAAAATGGGACCCTGGTGGAAAGAGGGCAACGCCGACGACGACGACGACGACGACGCCGACGACGCCGACGCCGACGACGACGACGACGACGAGGACGACGACGACGACGCCGGACGACGACGACGACGACGACGACGACGACGACGACGACGACGGACGGAAAGACGACGACGACGACGGACGGAAAGACGGACGGACAAACGGACGGACGCACGGACGAACGGATGGACCGATGGACGGATGGACGGACGACGACGACCACCACCACCACCACGATGACGACGACGGCGACGACGACGGCGACGACGACGACGACGACGCCGACGACGACGACGACGACGACGGCGGCAGCGAGGAGCCCCTCCTCCAGGACCCCCTTTCCTCGGGGGCGCCCGAACGTGCCTGCCAGGGTACTGCCAGGAGGGCGCCCGAAGCTGCCCGCCAGGGCGCTGTTCCGGGCAGCCGAGAGGTACCCTGCCATGGCGGCGTCCCGGGGGCGTCCGAGGGGTACCTGCCAGGATGCTCCCCCCTGAGGCACCCGAGCGTGCCTGCCAGGACCCCGCCCGCTCCCCTCGCCCGCGCGCCTGGAACACCTGCACCAGCGAGGTCTTCCCCGCGCCGCTGTCGCCCAGGAGCGCCACCTTGCAGCGGAGCACCAGCGGCGGCACGGCGGCCTGGCGTGGCGGCGCTCCGCCACGGAAGGGGGGGGGGGGTCGCACGAGGGAGCTGGCGAAACCAAACGCGGTGCAAGTCGAAAGCAAGCTGCGAGCGCCTGAGAGCGAGTTTTCGGTCCTGCTGGGAGCGGGCGGCCATCGGTCGGAGTGGATCCGCCTTGAATGCTCGCCCCGGTTGGCATTCGGACCCCCAAAAACATGATTGACCCAAGTTCTACGAAGAAGGGAAGAAGGATGGCCGGAGAGCACACTGTGGTGCCTCCAAAAATTCCTTGTTGGGTGCCTGACCCTCACATCCATCCTTCTCACCCTCTTCCTCCTCCTCCGTCCTGCTCCTGCTCCTCCTTCTTCTCATATTCCTCTTCCTCCTCCTTCTTCTTAGTATTCTGAATATTCTTATTATTAGGATTACTCTTTTGTTATTAATAATGGTATTCGTCTTCTTCTGTTTTACGATTACTATTCTTATTATTGCATGTTTTCTCTTATGCCTCTTATTCTTGTTACTAATATTATTAATATTATTATGTTTTGTTATTATTCCTCCTCTTCCTCCTCCTGCTCCTCCTCCTTCTTCTCCTCCTCTATTCCTTTTCCTCGTAGATAACTCCTCCCCGTCGCACCCCGAGGCCAGTCGGAAAGGCGGGCCGGGCGTTTCGTCTGAGACTCCCCTACCATGTGTTATCCGGAAACACAACATTGGCGACGGCTTCACATGTGGGGGGCGGGTCGATTCCAAAGCTGCAATGAAAAGCTGCGCGGGTTGAGGGCGAGCCGTTTTCAAATGTGGCTCTCGCTTTACTGCCGCACGCCTCCGTCCGAACAAGTTGCAATAACTTCACGGATTGAGGGCGGGCGGTTTTCAAATTGTGGCGCGGGTTCCAATAGTCAGTGTACCACAGATGGTTCTCTGGAGCGATTCTGGACCGTCAGGGCACATCGTTACGTTGACTCGCGGTGTCCAAATCCCAGTGTTCTGGCCCGATTCAGGAGCAGTCAGGTTGATTCGTAGCGTTGGAGTCCCGAGAATTATGTTTTGCTTGTTGCACAATTGAGGATAGTCAAGCGATTGTCCCACAAAGGGGCAAGTCCCTGTTGAAACGAATCTTCGCAGGGGCCTCTGAAGAGGGAACTTGGAGGAAGGGCTTGCTCCAACTTCACTGCTGAGTCTTGGGTTTGCACTGGCCCCCCTCCCCCATCAACCCCTCAACCCCTCGTCCCCACGTCCCGCCGCCTCTGCGCGGCGCCAGCGTTGAACGGGCAGTTTTTGTTGCGGCGGCGACGGCGTTGCCAGGGCGTCCCGCTGCAGGGGTCGTTCGGCCGTCCGCGCCAGGGCGCCCAGCTCCGCAGAAGAAAATGCCCTGGCGCGCAGACGCCGACATTCTTGTCGCGCCCGGCGCCGCCCCAAAGGCACGTCCAAGGTGCCTTCGGCGCGCACGCCTCCCCGCCTGCCTTTGCGCGAGGGGGGCGCCCGTCCCTCCAGCGCCCGCGGAGGGGGGCGAGGGGGGCCTGGTCCGCGCGGGGCCCTTCGCATCCATCCACCTCCGCACCCCCCTCTCCGCCTCCCCCCGCCCCGCCGGCACCTCTCCCCCGCCACCCCCCCCTCGGAGAGGGACGCGCTGGAGACGGAGAGGAGGCGGAGGAGGAGGAGGAGGCGGAGGAGGAGGAGGAGGAAAAGGGTGAGGAGGAGGAGGAGGAGGAGGAGAGGGAGGAGGAGGAGGAAGACGATGAGGCACAGGAGCAGGAGCAGGAGGAGGAAGAAGAGGATGAGGCACAGGAGGAGGAGAAGAAGGAAGGAGGAGGCGGAGTAATAGGAACAGGAAGGATGAGCGTCTCCCCCTGCCGACCCCTGCTCTCTCCAGTTTCTCAGGGCACCTCTCCACACCCCCTCCCCATCCCATCCTCCCCTCTTCTCCACCTCCCCTCTCCTCTTCAGCATCGCCACCCCCTCCCCCAGGAGATCTAAACCTCCAGAACTGAAGACCACCAACATCCAGACGGAAGTAAAACCCTCCAAGCTGCAAGTTAGAGCCTCCAGCTTGGAGGTCTGGAGTCCAGTGGCCCTTCTCCCCCCACTCTCAGACTCGGCGGAAAACCTGGACGACCGCTCGATCCAGTCGGTGTTTCAATTCGGCTGGGGACGACGAACTCGTGGTGACGATGGAAAACGACAAGAGGAGCAGGAGAAGAAGGAGGAAGGAGGAGGGACAGACGACGACGAGGAGGAGGAAGGGGCCAGCGGCTAGATGCGAGAAACAACAAACTACTCTATCGGCAGAGCAACGAACCTAAGTGGAACATCGCGCGGCCCTCGAGCGATACGCGGCTGCCACCAGACTGCGAGTGACAGGGCCACTAGCAAGCACAATGCTCAACAGTGCGGCAAACTCCAGAAGCTGCTCGCCAGTGAGATACGATTTGCAGTGCTGGTTCATGGCAGCAACGGCACGCCCCCCTGAGGTCCAAGCAAGTTTTTGATGAGAACCCAGCCCCCCAGCATCAAAATCAGGGAGACATAAGACTCGGGTTCGGAGGACTCGGATTGGCCTGACGGGGCCATCGTAAAAATGACGACAGCCCAGATCTGAAATCTGACGCGAGCCCCCGCTGCAAACATCCCGCGGAAACTGCACCGCCAGACTCCGGGAATCGCTCGTCAGAAAGCGTCGGCAAGCCCGAGTTCCGGCGCACCCGAGCCTTACGCTTCCCCGAGAATCTCCTGGAGGAAGCATCCGTGGGGCTGCGACCCAACACCCACGCACGGTGGCGGGACGAGCCGAGGGCACCTCGATCCGCCGCCCCCTGCTTGCAGGGGTGCACGGCGTGCTGGATGAGCTGGTTTTGGTTTTGGTTCTTTTTCCAAAAGAACTCCCCAGTGGGCTCCGGCAGAACCCGCCGGCCACCCGGAAAATCCCCAAATGTGCTCAACGACAGGAAAATATCCTCCAAAAACAGCCGTTTCGCTCGGGACATCCTCAAAAAATCGCGAAGATGGCCCAAGATGGCCTCCAAGTCCGCCCGAGATGGTCCAAGACGGCCTCCAAAACGGCCCAAGAGAGTCCAAGACGGCCCAAGACGGCCCAAGAGGCCCCCCAGAGGCCTCCCAGACGGCCCAAGAGGCCTCCAAGAGGTCCTCCAGGAGAGTCCGAAGAGGCCAAAATCACTGATTTCCCCTTGGTTTTTGAAGGATTTTGGCATTTGCGCCTTGTCGGCTCTCCGACGGCTCGAGACGGCCCAAGAAGCCCCCAAGATCGCCCAAGAGGCCCCCAAGAGAGCCCCCTGATGGCCCAAGTGGCCTCCAAGATGGCCCCTAGAGGGCCCCAAGACGGCCCAAGAGGCCTCCAACACGCCCAAGATGGCCTCCAAGACGCCCAAGATGGCCTCCAAGACGGCCCTGGAGCGCCCCAAGAGGGTCCCCCGTTGGCCCAGAAAGGCCCCCAAAACGGCTCCCGACGGCGTCAGACGTGCCAGGAACCCACCAAGATGGCCGAAGTTGGCTCGAAGCTGGCCCAAAAGGGCCCAAGAGGCCCCCAAGAGGGCCTCCAGGAAGGCCAAAAGATGCCAAAATCACTGATTTTCCGAAGGTTTTTGATGGATTTGGGCATTTCCCTTTTTTCGGCCTTCCGACGGCCCGAGACGGCCCAAGAGCCCCCAAAGATCGCCGAAAGATCGCCCAAGAGGCCTCCAAGACGGCGACGATGACCATCAAGACGCCCACGTGTTCCCCGAAGGCTTTCCAAACCGATTCGGGGAACACATGGTCCGATAGCTTGGCAGGTCTGGCCTCAACGTTCGGCCACATAGGCGCTTCCAAAAAGGCAGGGGGCGGCGGTGATTCGCCGTAGGCGTCTTCGATATGAGGGCGGCTATGGACATCCTGGGAGGGGGAGGGGGAGGGGGAGGGGGAGGGGGAGGGAGGAGGGGTGAGGGGGAGGTGAGGGGAGGAGAGGAGGAGGAGGAAGGAGGAGGAGGAGGAGGAGGAGGAGGAGGATTCATCGCAGGGGTGCCTGGCGTGCTAGATCCTTTCGGTTTGGGCGTTGGCTCTTTTTCCAAAAGCACTCCCCCGGCCCATCCCGCCGGCCACCTGGAAGGATGCCGAAAGATCGCCCGGACCCGGTTGCAAAGGGTTTTTCCATCCCAGATGGCTCCAAGATGGCCCAAGATGGCCTCCAAGACGCCTCCAAGACGGCCAAGATGGCCTCCAAGACGGCTAAGATGGCCCCAAGATGCCTCCAAAACGGCCCAAGATGCACCCAAGACGGCCTAAGATAGCCTCAAGATGGCCCAAAACGGCCCAAGAGGCTCCTAAGAGGCCTCCAAGACGGGCCAAGAGGACTATAAGAGGTCCTCCAGGAAGGCCCGAAGAGGCCAAAATCATTGATCTTCCGAAGGTTTTTGAAGGATTTTGGCATTTGTGCCTTGTCGGCTTCCGACGGCCCAAGACGGCCCCAGAGGCCCCCAAGGTCGCCCCAAGATCGCCCAAGAGGCCTGCAAGGTGGCCCCATGACGGCCCAAGAGGCCCCCAAGACGACCCCAAGAGGGCCCCAAGACGGGCCAAGAGGCCTCCAAGACGCCCAATATGGCCTCTAAGACGGCCACGAAAAGCCCCAAGAGGGCCCCAAGTCGGCCCGGAGAGGCCCCCAAGACGGCTCCAGACGGCTCCAGACGGCGTCAGACGTGCCAGGAACCCACCAAGATGGCTGAAGTTGGCTCGAAGCTGGCGCAAGACGGCCCAAGAGGTCTTCAAGAGGCCTCCAGGAAGGCCAGAAAAGGCAAACAAAAACGTATGTTTGTGATGCATATGTATATATATATATACATATGTATATATGTGTGTGTATATATAAGTGTGTATGTATGTGCATATATATACACACATACATACATACATACATACATACAAACATACATACATACATACATGCATGCATACATACATACATACATGCATATTATCCCGGCAAAGCAACCTAACAGCGATGTGTAGAAGCATATCTGAA